GTTGTCTTTTATTTGATCGTACGCCAGAATCGGTTGTTGTTTTGACTAACATTTGGATCGCTTCCTTGATTGCCGTCCAGTGTTCACTGAATCCTCCGGTTGATGATTGAGTTGAGAGGCGATCTGATAGTTCCGTTTTGCAACCATTGCTGTCCTTGTGTTGTGGGCATCCGTTTTCNAGAATCTTGCTCGTTGGAGAGCATAGTCCGTGTCCTCGAGTGTTGACCAGTAGGAGCGGCAGTCTTCAATGAATCCTCTCCAGCGGTGGCTGATGGCGATGTGGTCGATTTAAGTCCAACCCTGTGAGGTTGGTGGTTTCCGTGTAATGCAGTGTTGTTTCTTTTGCGAGAAGTAGGTGCTTAACAGGAACTGTCCGTGGTCAGCACAAAGTTGGAGTAGGCGTTCTCCGTTGTCAGTCTTGTGGGGTTGGGATTGCATGCGAACCGCCAAGTAACCTCTATGATTCGTCCAGGGATCCCACTTGAGCGTTGTCTCCAGCGACGTTTACGATGTCCATTGATCGGGCACTTTGGAACAGTTGAGAGAGGTCCTTGTAGAGTTCATCCTTGATTTCAGGTGACCTGCAATCAGTCAGTGCTACGTCGCCATGACGAATAAACATTGGTGCTTTGTTCTATAGATGTTGACCTGTACTGAACCGTTGAGACATACAGCGCACAGTGGGTTACTAACCGAAATCCAGTCAAGAATCGTGCTCTCAGTATCACTCAGTGAACATGATCAGGACAGCACCTTAATTTCTGATGGCTTCCTAGCTTGAACCATTGTTATCCGCCAATAACCATTTCTTTATTGATTTTTTGCTTTCCTACGTCTGAGATCTGTCTGTGCCAAACATGGCGGTACATAAATCTTTATAAAGAGAAAAAGGGTTCATGATTGACTCGTGGGCTCGATACTGCAAGATTGCGCAGACCAAAACAGATGAAGTTTCTGGGGGAATTTGCAACCGAAGCCTTCGGCGAACCAAAGTTTGACTCCCAAGGTAACAATATTTACAGATTTACAATTGTTTTGTCCATATTAAAATTGATCAGCGAAGTTCCTCGTACGATAATAACTGTGACGAAATTCTATGTGCATATCAACTCTTTTTCTTTGATTCACTTGTTTTGCAGTTCCTAGACATTCCTACTATTGTCGCCCTAAGTTTGGTACAAAACGCACTCACGCGGATAGCACCCATGGTCCTGCCGTTGCGGAAACGCAGGATCCAACCTTGATCCGTCAACGCTCTGTGACTTTTGCTACACCTCACGGTTCCGCCCCAGGGGATACGACTTCCGAGGCTACCACACTTGAGTACGATGCCGAATCGATCCTGCGCGGAAAGATGCCCACTTACGCACACGACACCGATGAAGATGAAACGTACAAGCGCTCATCTCAGGATGATTGCTGCACAGATGCTGACAGTATGTTTGAAAGATGTTCGAATCAATACTTGTCTTCTGTGTCGGTGGACAGCGGGTTTATCCGATAAAAGTTATTCACTGTTCCCCCTCCTGCCTTTTAGATAAACAAATGTATACTATTCAGTTCAGTTCAGTTCCGTTTGTACAAGCATTAACCATGCACTATCGTGCACCGGTTTTGGTTGCTTTTTTGGCTACCCATTTGGATAAACAGTAGGAGGAAGATAGGAAAGGTTGAAAGTAGGATCGAGGAGAATATTTAGAATTTCAGTGGACTAATGTTGCAGAGAAATTGACAAGATGCACGAACGCCATTGTTTACGACAGCCGTGTCACTCAGTGTCTCTAATTATCGGTTACGATCATCCCGAGGTTCCCAGCCAGGGAGCCTAACAGGATCTATGTGACCCAGTCTCCTGGTTAGGGTTCTCATACCCTCGTACCAGGTCTTAGCTTGACCACCCTTGGCTTTCTCCCACTCGGTATCTGCTTCGGCGAACATTGCTCGCCGTGGTGACCTATCTGGTGACATGCGTAACACATGTCCCAACCAACGTAATCCATGGAGGTCGGCCATTTGATCCAGTGGGCGACCGCGAATACCCAAAACGCTGTCCCTAACCTCAGCATTGCTCATTCGGCTACCCCACCGGACACGTGCAATGCTGTGTAGACAGCTGTGTTCAAACACCGACAGTCTGTCTTTATCCTGTTTTCTTAATGGCAAAGTTTCTGCACCGTATAGGAGGACTGGCCGAACTGCTGCAACATACACTCGACCCTTCACAGACAGTCGGATGTCGAGACGGTGCCACAGATGTCTCAAGTTGGCAAATGCCAACCGAGCCTCCTTTATGCGAGCAGACACTTCCTCCGTGATGCGTCCACCGGGTGAGATGTAGCTGCCCAAATAACAAAACTTATCCACTTGCTCTATTACTTCCCCAGTTAGGGTGAGGCTGGTTGCTGGACCAATCCAGTCTTGTAGTAACATTTTACACTTTGAAGGTGCAAAACGCATATCGAATATGACTACGCTGGCATTCAAGTTATCGAGAAATGCTTGCAACTCACCTGGACCTTCACGTAGCAGCACACTATCGTCTGCGTACTCTAGATCAGACAGTCTGCCTCCTGAGAGTAAATCGATACCGTTATCGTCGCACGAAGATGGGGCTGTTTCAAGGATTTAATCTATGACACAGTTGAATAAAGACGGAAAGAGGCCACTCCAGACGAACACCACTGTCAGTGGTGAACTCGGGCGAAAAAGTGCCGTAAGTCCGGACTCGACTTCGGCTATTAGTATAAAGCGATCGTAATATTGAGTTAAATTTCTCGAGCACACCCTTCAGGGAAAGGCAGCGCCAGAGTTTAGAGCGGTCGACTGAGTCGGAATCCGCTTTCAGATCTAGCAAGACAGAGATGATGGGTCTACGAAAAGAATGTCGATGCTCCAGAATTTAGCTGAGAGTGAAGATGGGGTCGACAGAACGTCGACCGGGCCTAAAATCAGTCTGATTCTCGCGCGTGCACCGTTCTCGTGCGGCAGAAAATCGGTGGAGTATGATGCCAGCGAGAAGTTTAGAGATAATGTCGATTAAACTAATTCCTCTGTATTTTTCACCAGAGGATCCACCAGTTTTCTTGTAAATCGGTATGATCATCGATTCACACCATTCAAGTGGAACTTCTTCCCTTTCCCATATTGAACCCAGGGGTTTTGTCAGCTCCAAGACTAACGCTGAGCCTTCATCGACAAACGCTGATGGGAACAGCCCATCTGGGCCAGAGGCCTTATTCCTTTTGAGCTACTTTATTTCCCGTTAACCTCCATTTCAGATGGAGGACTAATGTCAACTGGCAGTATTTGCCCATTCAAGGTGGAGGATGAAAGATCAGATGCAGATTGGGGCCAGTTGAACTGAGCCTTGAAGTGTTCAGCCCAACGGTCAAGACGGCGTTGCTGATCGTGAATCGGTGTGCCATCGGATTCCTTAATTACCTCACGCCTATTTTCCTAGGGCCCGTATTCCTAATTAGATGGAAATTATTACGACCATTACCAATAGCCGCAGCTTTCTCCATCTCTTTACACTTTTCTACACATCACTTTTCGCGATCATTCCTCAGACTTTTGATGAGCTGGCGTTTGAGGGATTTGCGCATTGTGTCGTATTTGGCATCTGCATAGCTTCCTTGATTTGCTTCCAGTGTTCATTGAGTCTTTCGACTGGTGGTTGAACTGACAGGTGATCGGAGAGCTCCGCTTCGAATGCCGATTTGCATAAATCGCTGACGCTGTATCGTGGGTATCCGTTGTCGGTGGCTTTTTTGCGGTTGTTTGCCAGGCGTAAGGAGAACTTGGCTCGTAACAAGGCGTGGTCTGTATCCACAGATGTTGACCAGTAAGAGCGGCAGTCTTGAATTGATCCCATCCAGCAATAATTGATGTCGATGTGATCGATCTGGGTCTAGCCCAGTGAAGAGGTTGGCGGTTTCCATGTAATTCGATGGCGTTTCTTGTGTGAGAATTTAGTGTTTGACAGGAACAATCCGTGGTCCGTGCAGAGTTGAAGTAGGCGATCTCCGTTGGTCAATGCAGGTTGGATCGTGTAATGTGTGTAGAGCACAGAGGTTCACGATCTTTGACTGCCTTCAGTTGGGCCCAAGCTGTATCGATCTTGTGCCCTCTCACCTTGGGTGCATTAAGAGGTTGACAACGCAAAATATTTAATGAATCAAGAGGCCAATTTTAGTTCGTATTTGAGGGTTCCAAAGAAAAATGCCAAATGCCTTCCGTTGAAACCCGTAGTTATTTTATTGCCGTGACCTTGACAGTTTGTTACATATTCATGTGTACTGCATATGTATCTGTATTTTTTTTCATCTCGACAGCCAACGATTCTGAACTCTCCCAGTTGTTAGACGACGCGTTGGAGGAGGCTGCAACTGTCCAGGCTTCGCTGGATAAAGAAAATCGCGCTGATTTTATAAGCGGCACCTCAGATACTGAAACGGGCGAAGAATTGGATGTTGGTGCTTGTTCGGAGACGGAAAACCCGTTCAGTTTTTCTTCCTTGGAATACAATCCACAAGGGACTAATCGTGCAGAACGACATTCCTCTCGCAGGGGGTCGCAGTTTGTTTCTCGCCTGAGTCGTGAAAACAGTTTGAGGCGTTCGACTTCCCGGAGGCGTGCCCCGAGACGCGAGAGTGGTTCCCTTGCGAGTGCTCTTTTGGACAGTGATTGTCCGACTGTGAGTCGTAATGAGTCGGAGAAACGACAGGGCAACGCTCTCGCTGGTGCTTCAGGTAATTTTTATTATATATATATATATATATTTGACACGCACTCAATTACGTAGAATTGACAGATGTGCCACCACATATGAAGAAAGAGATGTGTAATCAGTTTAAAGTTAATCCTCGAATAAGTCTCGCAACACGTGGGCCATTGCAGCCGGTTACCATCCATGTTTGCAAGTGTATCAAGCCATAGATGTTCGCTGTCCTTATGCCCCAAGCTGGGATTCTATAGCGCCGTACCACTGCGAGTTTTACGGTTAGCGCCTTCATCGTTCGAGCCCAGGTTATTCGCTGTCCACCGCGTCGCCGCTTTTGGTTAGTGTCTGCTTGTGCAAACATAACACGATGGGGCAATCGTTGAGCCGGCATCCGCAACACATGACCTAGCCATCGAAGTCCCTGGTGTGAGATGACGATACTCAGGACGACTGAGATTATCTGCGGTGAAGATTCTTCGGCGAACCTCGTCGTTGGTGATTCGCTGTTG